AAGAGTATAGGTGGATTTTAGTAGGGTTTATATTTTCAAATTAAGACCCCAAATTTCAGCATCATCCCCGACAATAAATTTTGGTCTTTGGCCAAAATTTTGTACTATTACCAAAACTTGTCCATTTGCCCAAATGCCATCACTGCGAGTGTTGTCAAAAGAAAACCTACAACTCTAAAAATAGATTATGAAAATCATAGTAATCTATTTTTAGAGTTGTAGGTTTTCTTTTGACAACACTCATATATGAATGCTGCCAAGGGCACTTCGGGCGTTTATTATTGATTATTTATTTGATTCAGCCCTTCTCGGTACACCCGATCGATCAGAATGGCTAGATCCGATAAATAACCAATAATATACTAAAAACCCAAAGTGCCCTTTTTCTTGGCAGTACTCATATATAAGATATACCGGGTGTTTGATAAGTCTCTGGACTGGACCTTTTTATTAATCACTTTGATTATCAAAACTATTACGTTTTTTTATTAAAATAAAAAGAAACTTTTAGGTGATTAACAAAAAGAACTGTTCAGGGACTTATCAAACACCCGGTATCTAGTTCGATAGTTAATCACAGATCACTCAACAATTAGCAGGAAAATTTGTTCGCAAGACGATCCAAGGGATAGATAGTACATGTACTGTACGTACATAACTATGGTTTGATTTGAGCTGGTCAGATTAAGATTAAAATTGGAGTAACTGAAACCGAACCGAAAAAAAAGCGATAACTAAAAAATTCGTGAACAAATTTATCGTGATGAAAACAAATTCGGATAAACCAACCATAACCGGTAGCTGATTAAAAATTTTTGCTGATATCGATATGGGAAATTAATTTATGATATTTGCTATTTAGCGTTAGATATTAGCACTATCAGAAATCGAGTTTCATATAAAAACTGGTTTTTCTGTTCGGCGTTAATGCATATCATAATAGAAAAGAAGATATATAAACATATATACATTTAGTTCTAACTCTAATACGTAGGTGAACAATTAAGATAAACGTATCCTCATTGTAATTCGATTTCTTTATGTTTTATGGTGTGTTACAAATTTCATGAATTTGAAACAAAAGGATTTTTCTTGCCGACCAATAAAAAATATGAAAACAATATGAAGAATTTTACCTATATACCATTCCTACTGCTAACCAGAATTAAGCAAAGACTTATTGTATGTACAGTACAGTAGGTTTCTTAGAAATTTAGAAAATCAATCATTATATATTATTGTGACTAATACTGATTAGTTGGAAAGCATGTTAATCACATGATGAATACATGAAGCGTTCATAAAATCACGATAATGCCACATTTAGTATAAGATTTTAAAATTAATTAAATTATACTAAATCAGTAATACAAAAGTGGACTCCTTGTAAGTCATCCCTATATTAAGTTTTATAGACGTGCACTTCATTATCTTTGTGTTACCTTTGAATTACTTCTTTGAGAATTACAGTTGGATAAGGTATGGTCTATTAAATCTATTTAACTGAGATGACGCGAAGGATCTCTTTATCTCCATCAGGATGTTTGCGTTAATTCATATCAATAATTTTAATGTATGCATTGTCTCAACTTTACCACAGTAGGATAATAAGGTCTTAGAAACTAAATACAATGTTGATCTGCGCCATTTATACTGTGCATTACGTTGCACGATAGGACAAGCTGTTTCACTTAATGAAAAAATAAAATACATATTGGAAATTTTCGTCAGAGTTAATTTTCGAAACTTACTCTTGTCTCTTAAATTTATCCAATTTTTTTTATCTCCTAATAAAAAAAGGCTGGGCCTAAAAAAAAAAACAAAAAAAAAAAAAAACGTTGTTACTTTTAGTAAACTTGGTACATATTTATTCTTAGATATTAATGAATACCTCAAGAAATCCTCGTTCTAACCGTCAAAAAGGTCTACCAGCAATTCCTTTTCAATACCATGAGGCTTATGATGATCGGTATAGAACTGCTGGGCGAGATACGTATATCGTAAATGATGAATATATAGATAATGATAATGATCAATCTGAAGTACCATCAATTCCTGAGAGAGATACATATATTAATACCGATGAACGTTCTGATAATGATGATAATGATGATAATTACGATGAATATAATCCTGAATCCCCTATTTCTTCCCCAAATAATGATCGTCCCTCTTCACCACCACCATCTCCTAAAAAAAATGGTTATGATTTGAATAGAGAAATTTCAACATCACCTAATAATAACTCTGAAAAACCATTACCTCAATTTGATGATCAATCTCAACAAAAACGAAAGAATTATTTTAATCTTGGTAAAACTCTCACATCTCGCTTTAAATTCAAAAAACCTAATGCAAAGGATAATCAGGATCGTTCTGTATCAGAACCTATTTCTATAAATGAAAAGTCTCAATCATTACTTAGTTCACTTCCTACTTTAGCACCTTCTTCTCCAATTTCTCATCAACTTCCTGCCGAATATTTTCCTGATAGTTTTGATAAAGATGAGGAAACAAAGTCTGTTGAACAGACTACTCATGAATTAACAATAGATGATCTTTATCATTTTGTTCTCAATATACGAAAAGGTTTTCAATCGCAATTCGATGAAATGAATTCACAAATTAAAGAATTAAAAAATGAGATCAGAAGATTAAAGGGTGAGGAGTCTGAAGACGAAGCTCCAAAAGAGGATGTTAAAGAAGATTCAGTGACTAATAATGCAACAAATGTTCGAACTGTTACCAAACAAATGGAAAGATATGGTGGTGCTGGAAGATGGTTTCATAACGAAAATATATAATCTAGTTATTGAATATACTATTTAACTAAATAGTAAATAATATAATATAAGATTCAATTTATTTATTATAACACTTGTACATTATTAAATTTATCACATCTTATAACTCGCCAGTTAACATTGGCATAATGCTCCGTATTATTATCTGGAAGGACAAATAAATTGCGTAAATTAGAGTTTATTTATTATATTTTAAAGCATCTCACTGTAATAGGTAGTGTAGTACTAGTGTAGTAGGGAATTTTTAATATGAATATTATATAGGTAAGAATTTAGTCTCAACATACTATAATTTATTACGTTGATGTTTTGATTTTATTATTCTTATTATTCAATAATTAAATAAAAATTAATTCTGTTCATTAATCAACATTTTACATGTTCCGTCTTCGCTTTGATTTTCCAATGTTAATTTTCTTCCAATAGTTTCATTATCAACTGCATGTTCTAAAGCCTTCAAGAAATCTTTCAATGTTGTCGTAGCCCATGATTTTAAAAAGTGAGCGTATGCTAAGAATGGCATTTTACGTAACGTACGCCCACTCATTCCCTAATGGAAAAAATTATATTTATATTCTTAGTTTTGATATTTGAATAATTCCTCTTTTATTGAATATCCAATATTTACTTGCCTGGCATTTTCCGCAAATAGAATAAAGTCTAATGCTTGGATTATCAATGCTGTTTGTGTGTTGGTATAATTCCACAGCACGCCAATCAAGCAAAAATTCCTTTAATAAAGAAATTTAATAAATCTCGAGATAATAATCTGAAATAATAACGATAATCTTCAAAATATTTACCTCCTCTGCGATTATTCTAACTCTCATTAACTCTCGTATGCAGCTTGATAGTATGCCATAAATGGCTTGTTGTGATGGCAAACCGATATATTGCTTGATATCGGCTCGATCAATGAAGGCAATGTCTATGTATGTATACGTATGTTACATTAAATGTTAAACATTGCATTTACTTTATTTATTTATAATTTATATATAATTTATATATATATATGTTTTATAATGGCACACCTATTGCTTCTGTGATATTTGAGGTAGTCAGTATTAGAACGTTCTTTTCTTGTTTCAATTTATCTATTTGTGTCAGTAAGGCATTGACCACCTGATGACGCATATAATTGTTATATATTTATCCATTGGTTAAGAGTTATAACCAAATATTGTAAATTACCCTAACAGCATCTAATGGTTCCGCTCCAGATAACGCAGACCTTCTGGTAGCTGCCAAACTTTCCACTTCATCTAAAATACGTAGATACACAATATCTCTGTGAATTTTTTTTTCTTTTATTCATAAATGGATTACTTGCAATAATTTACCTATTAAAATGCAGACAAATGCATCATCATCATCTATCAAATCATAAATTTGTTGGAACAACTTTTGCACCAGTTTTCCAGATTCAGAGAACCATTTAGAAAATAAACTATGACTATTTATCTCGAATAACTTTCCATGAGAATATCTAGTTGGCAAAACAAAAAAACAATTAGTATATCGTTTGATTTATAAATGTAATAACTTTTCTTACCTCTCCGCTAGTCGAATAGATAATTTTTGCGCAAAAGCTCGACAAAGAGTTGTTTTTCCTGTTCCTGGTGGTCCATGCAACAGAATAATTCTAAAAAGTGTAAATAATTTGATCTTTGTAAAAAAAAAAAAAAAAAAAAAGGTTAAACCACGTATGAATTACGCGGATAAGAAATTTCACCTGTTCCATGAGATAATATTTGTGTTCACATTTCGATCAGCAAATAAAATTGTTGTGTAAACGTAATCAAGCAATCGAGTTTTAATATTTTCGTCAAATATGAGACTGTTTGAAAATTAATTATTATTCTTTAACAAGTGCAATTCACCATAATATATAATAAACTTCTTAATACTTACTTATCCCATAAGCCGTCGAGAGCTCGTGCCGGTAAATCCCAATAATTAGCTGTTAGAACATTTTCTTCTTCCTGATATTCCTCTACTACATCATCTTCATTAAGTTGATACACGTGAATATCCAAATCCACGTTTTCTAGAATTTGAATATCAGACGTGTCGCCTTTATATATTCAAAGGTTAGATAGATATGACAGTCATATAATAATTATTTGCCACGTACATATAGACTTACTTCCGGCTTCGGCAACGATCATATATTCTACATGTTCTTTAAGTAAAGCTACATCCTGAAAATCCGTTACTTCAGAATGACATAGCAATGAAGTTTTGAATTCACGTAAGAATTTCTCGACTTGCCCACGTATCACGTCGTATCTTACTGTACTGTGAGTCTTTAAGCAGCATTCGACTAAAAATATGTAATAAAAAGTACGTGTTTGATTTTCAAAATAAATATATTTCCAAAAGAGTTGGTATGCTTATAACTAGAAAACGCGTCAAAACTAACTGTGAAGAGTTGTTCTTGCATGTTCTGTCAATAGTGGAGGTGATATATCCTCGAATAATGTGGGTAAGGCAGGTAAGGCATGTAATGTGGGTAATATAGAATTTATTTCTGTTGTTTCTGATCGAGAAGGCTCTGCCTCCATAATAGTTAATGATAATTAAAATTACACGAAAAAAAAACAATCTTTTAAGGCTTAGATCATACGATACGAAATTAATCATGTGATTATACATAACAGGGGGAAATGTACCTAAAAATAGAAACACGTTACACAATTCATTACAATCGTAATTTATACATTTTAAAGT